AGGCTACCGTGTAAACGGACTGTTGTGTCTTGCTGTCTGAGCAGTTGGCCATCAGCTGGTTAAATCAAGCAAGGATAATGTTGCTCCCAGACAGCTTCGCAAGAGAAAAAACATTTGGACCGGTGGTCTTCACAACTATGGTAGTTGAATCAGTACAGAAATTAAAAGCTTCATATAAATTGGTATCACAAAATTTGTAATCCACCTATTGTCTCAAATGGTCATGGCGACGTTGTTCATTTAGCCCTGGAAACTTCTATTCTCCTATTTTCAAATATGAGATAAGCACCGGTTCCGAATGAAAAATTTTCATTACATTCTTCCCGAATGATGAATGCAGGTTTACAATTCAAAATTGGCTCTGTGCCCCCTCTTTTTTTCTCAAGAATATCTAATAAACAAGTATCTATGTAGACAAAGGAGATATGTGTATTGAAACAATATAATCTTTATAGATTCATATAAATGTTCTGTTTCAGAAATAATTTAATTGATTAAAATTACCTTGTTTCATTCCAAGATTCTTCATGATCAATCCCCTGATTACTTTATGCCACTTAGCTCCAGGCACACTGGCCTCTTCTCCTTATGGGTAGAAACATAGCTTGTGGGGGGAAGAGGGAGCACAGAAACGTAAGTCACTCCCTCTGATTACTCTAAAATGTCCTTTTCAACTATTGTTTAGGTAGTGTGTTACATGACAGCTTCTAAAAAAAAATGGTATGAAAAGATGCCAGAAAAAGCCATGTGACTTATGTATATTTTAAAATACGGTCAGACCGTGAGACCAATAGAGAAGGTTTTTCACACTCACCTCTCAGCAGAAACCAGAGGATAAGAGCACATCAGTTTCATTTTAAAGTAGATATTTTGCAACTCAAGAATTTTATACCTTTTTAAGTTGTCATATAATTGTGAAGCAACATTTCAGATAAGCAAACTCTCAGGAAGTAGAGCACTCACATTTTCTTTCTCAAAGATGTACACCAGTCTACCGAATGAGGAAATCCTGTTTAAGAGGATGAGCAAGGCAAAGTAGAAGGAAGTGTAAATTATACAGACGTAATCCAAATGTCATGAAAATTCTTAAAAAGAAGGCACATGAAAAAAATAATTTAACGACAACATTCTAGATCTAAAATCCTAGATCATATCAAAGAAAGCTGAATGCAGAAGAAAATAAAATCATCAACAAATACTGATTAATTGGGCAGTCAATAGACATGTATAATTCTTGATGTTGAAAATCGCAGTGTGAAATATGTTTGAACTTTTAAAGTTACCACTAATTAAATTTAAAAACACACTATATGCCTTATGAATTACCAGAGGAAAAAAGCAACCTAAGAAAATAGAGTCCACCTGGCAAAAGAATAATCATTGAAAATTAATCATACTAATGATACTAACAAATATTGAGTGCCAGGCACTAGGCTAAGTGTTTTACATTATCTCCTTTAATCCTCGATTAAGTCTCTGAGATAGTTATTTATGATGCAGTTCAAAATCAGGTCAGCTTAAATGTGAAGTTATGGTCTTTATTAATACAATAAGAATAGCAAATAGATTATAACTTATGTCCCAATTCTCACTGATTAGTATTAGCCTTTAGTAATGTTGAACTGATAAATATTCTGAGGCTGAATCCCATCTCAGCAGAAAAGACCAGCATGGACTATTAGTGATGCCTATTTTTTAAAAAAGAGGGCTTCCCTGGTGGCACAGTGGTTGCGAGTCCACCTGCCGATGCAGGGGACACTGGTTCATGCCCCGGTCCGGGAAGATCCCACGTGCCGCGGAGCGGCTGGGCCCGTGAGCCATGGCCACTGAGCCTGCACGTCCAGAGCCTGTGCTCCACAACGGGAGAGGCCACATCAGGGAGAGGCCCGCATACCGTGAAAAAAAAAAAAAAAGAGAGAGAGAAGATTTGCATCAAGTATGCCATATGCTTACTACATCAATCACAATTATAAAAGTAGATAACATAAAATTACGAACAATAAGACCAAGATCATGTTTTATGAAAATGGTTATAGATATAATAAATGGATCTAACAAAGTAAAAGACTCAAAGGTTTTAAATAAAATAAAACCTTTTAAAATATTTTAAAATATTTAAAATAAAGAATCACAGAAAAGTTAAAAGAAAAATGAATGGGCAAAATATACCAAAAAGTATGCTAAAGTAAACAAAAAGAAAACAGGAATTCCAACATTATTATTATTAGATAGAGTAGAATTCAAGAAAAAAAGTACATACAAAAATTTATGAAATCTAGCCAAAGCTATGACAAGAGGCAGAAACTTAGTCTTTGTTCTTTTTAGAGACTGTAGAATGAAAAAAAAAATGATTTATTTGACTGACAACATTAGAAAATAAGTAAGAAAAAGAAAGTATTCCCATTAATTCAAGAAGTAGGAATCCAAAAATGTCAATAACTATTGTAGAAATTAAAAGTTGTCAAAGAATTTCATCTTTTAAGATGCACCACAATCAGCGGTTTTATGGCTGAGCACTTTAAAAAGTTCAAGGACAGGCTTCCCTGGTGGCACAGTGGTTGAGAGTCTGCCTGCTAATGCAGGGGACACGGGTTTGAGCCCTGGTCTGGGAGGATCCCACATGCCGCGGAACAACTGGGCCCGTGAGCCACAGCTGCTGAGCCTGCGCGTCTAGAGCCTGTGCTCCGCAACAAGAGAGGCCGTGATAGTGAGAGGCCCGCGCACCGTGATGAAGAGTGGCCCCCACTTGCCACAACTAGAGAAAGCCCTCGCACAAAAACGAAGACCCAACACAGCAAAATAAATTAATTAATTAACAAACTCCTACCTCCAACATCTTCTTAAAAAAAAAAAGTTTAAGGACGTGATACTAGCTAAGCTTTCTACACTGCTTGAGAGCATAGGAAAAAAAAAAGAGAAACCTATCTACTTATTTTTTTATACAAGTAGCACAATCATTATATCAAAATCTGAAAAAGAAATTCATGTGCTTACAAATACACACATATGAACACACACACAAATTATAAGGAATATTTGATAGAGAAAAATTCACAATATATTATGTGAAAAGAAGCAGAATATATACTGTGTATGTTAGGATGATTATTTTATAAAATATACATGTGCACAAAGAAAATGTAATGGATTGAAGTAGATATATATTATAGTAACTTTCCTGTATGGTTAGATTATACGTAATTTTTATTTTCTTTTTTATGTTTTTTCACTTTGCAAATTTTTTTCACTGCTATGTATTACTTCTATAATGCTAAAAAATAACTAATGGTATTAAGCCAAAAAGAAGCTGATTTTAGAGATGCAGCTATTTTTTTTTGTAATGATGAAGGAAGATTAGTCTGACTAAAGAACAAAGGAGAAATTGCTAAACCTGGACTAATAAACAAAAAACAAAAAAAAACAGGGAGGGGGTGAGGGAGAGGGAGGGGAGTAGGAGGAAAAAGGAAAAAGGAAAAGTAAGGATTCACAGGTTGTAAGAAAGAGATTGAACAAAAATGTCAGCAGGGTGCTAATGGAAGTTATCAAATCCTTATGTAGAAATCTTTATGGGATAGAAACTCCTCTGCTTCCAGCCTGCTGGCATAGAAGGAAAAATTAAATCTCTTCAGGTGTACCCGCCACAATCACGAATATTGTCAGCCTTTCTTGAGTTCTAGAATTCAGTCAAGATAAAATATAAGCTGTGTGAGGCCAGGTACTTTTGTTGCTGTGTCCATGGAGTTTCTGGAGTAGTGCAGGGCCCTGCAAGGCCAGTGAACATGCGTTCAATGGAAGAAGGGGGGTTTGCAGTAGAGCACCCTGCCCGGCTCTGTCTCATGGCCTGTTCTCTTCAGAATATGAACTGTGACTTGGCCCACAGCAAGAATGTGTTTCAAAGCCATAGATAACACAAATAGCTTTCAGAATGAAGGTCAAAATCATCCCTGACTGGATGAAAACATGGTCCCAAGCTAGCTAGGTCAATCTTGTGAGAATACAAAATAGAGACTGATCTCAGTACAACCCAACACTGCAAACACAGCCTCTGACTAGACTAAACTTAGGCTGTGTGTACAGAAGAGAAATACAGAGAAGAAGGAAGAAGGCAGTCCTGCTCCACTCCATGCTGGTCAGACCATGTCCCAGTCACGGAATTGAATTCTGGGTGCCCAGTTTTACAGTAAACATTATTAAGTAAGTGCTTATTCCAAAATATAAAACACAAATGGCCTGGAGACCCTGCCCTCTGAGGGCTGATTTAAGGGGATCTGGGGAGATTTAAGGTGAGGAGAAAAGGCCTGGAGAGTACAAGAGAGCTTTCCGGGGGAAAATGGGTTAGACACATCCAGTATTCCTCCACGGAGTGAAGTATGAGCAACAGATGGAAAGTACTGAAGTAGATTTGGCTCAATATGAAAAGGCATTTTCTAAAAGGTATGATACCCTCTGAGTACACAAGAGTAGGTGTCTGTCACCACAAGGGGGCAAGCACCAGCTAGATGACCATCTATAAGGAATGTTCTAGAAGGTACTCCTGCACTGGATGGTAGGATGCACCATGCAGGCTTCCAACATGGGGGACTGACTGGCCCACAGAGAGGTTTTATTTGTTCTACAAATGAATTTTTTTTTTTTTTTTTTTTTCGCATTTCGCGGGCCTCTCACTGTTGTGGCCTCTCCCGTTGCGGAGCACAGGCTCCGGACGCACAGCCTCAGCGGCCATGGCTCACGGGCCCAGCCGCTCCACGGCGTGTGGGATCTTCCCTGACCGGGGCACGAACCCGCCGTGTCCCCTGCATCGGCAGACAGACTCTGAACCACTGCGCCACCAGGGAAGCCCTACAAATGAATTTTTTTTAAATGCCTTTAGGGGAACACACACTCTGGAGTCCAAACTATTCACACGGCTCCCTATCGTCTTGAATCTTGCTGCTTCACATATCTATGCGACCTGCCCAGCTCCTAAAGGCATTCGAGTTGGCATAATCTGTAATGTCCAGTCCAATTCGAAGATAATTTGCCCCTGAGATGTAACTTCACCACGGAGCTGTCACAGAATTTTCTGCCATTGGAGGATGGAAGAGAGAAGAGCTTGGCAAAGAGGTAGAGTAGAATAGCTCAGGGAAGATGGGAACCCCAAACAGCCTAAGGTTGAACCATTTCTTTTGTTCTGCACAACTCCAGCATACATCACACCCTTAAAGATTCCTTTTCTTTTTCTCCCTCCCCTCATTTATGTTTCAATTCCACAGGCTTTTTTTTTTCTGAGCCTCTAGGAACTCAGACTACATTAAGTAAAAACTTTCCACTTAGGATTCAGAGCTTTTATCACTAACTCAGCTCAGAAGAGCAACCCTTCAGGTTGACTTCTCTTACTGCTTTCAGCCATTCCAGAGACTTGTCAGGGCCCTGACTCCTCTGTGCTGTGGTTGGTGTAATGCTGCCACCTGGTGACTGTTTGGACAAAGTGCCTGCAGCATCACTCCTCCCAGGCAGAAATGTTTCACACCCGTGAGATGGTGAAGCAAACCTTCCCGGGGCAGGGTCTACCTAATTGGGAGGGTAAAATCTTAACTCTGTGAGGACAGTCCTGTGCTAGGGAAGGTAATTTCTAGTAAATATTAATATTAATAATGACACTCATTAATGATACTTAATAACATTAGTAATGATTGAATTCTGAAAGATAATATAATATTAAGATGATGTTCTGCAGTAAAAATGTATATATAATTACATCATCTTTTCCATGTACATAAATTCTTCACGTATGTATTATTGGATATTATCCTCTTCGCAACCCCACAAACAATATCACCGGCATATTTATTCTTTTCCCCATGAGGAAACAGACACAGAGAGTGTAAGTGGCATGCCCAAGACCACACAACTAGTAAGTAGGAGAGTCAGAATCTTAACCCAGTAGACTTGGCTCCAGATTTTCTAGATGACTCAGCTATGGGAGCAAACTGGATCTTAGTAGCATACATTATAGAGAGATTAACCCCCCACCCCGAGCTACAGGATTGGCAGAATGAGGGAATCAGCAGTCTAAGGGGCATGACAAACTCACGAGGGGATTCGTGGTGGTTTGGTACAGGATCCACCCAGTAGGCAAGGGTTTGAATAATAAGATATAGCTAGGGGAAAGGGACTGGTAGGGGTAAGGGGTAAGGTAGGGGTAAGCCAAGGCCCCAATCTAGTGGAGTAAGGAAGAGCTATGGCTCCTTGTGCATATTAAGTGCATAGGGAAAATCCTATTGGAGGTGATGAGGCTTCTGAAGTTCTACCTGTCTTGGCCTCGATAGCTTCAGGAACTGGGTTGGGTTGGCCTGGGGGTGCAGGTACTAAGTCCATTACTCTTGCCAGAGGCCATATCATCTTCCCCTAAGTCATGCCAACCTTCATATTACATATTAGGTGTGAGGGTGTGGGAGTGCTAAACGATGCACATTTGTATTTGTCTATTTGCTTAATCATCTATCATAGCCATCCTGGACTAGGCAATTTCTCATCCTTTGTATCATGTAATTCCTACAACCCTAAGAGAATGGTTAGAATTTGCAAACCCGGGACTTCCCTGGTGGCGCAGTGATTAAGAATCTGCCTGCCAATGCAGGGGACACGGATTCGAGCCCTGGTCTGGGAAGATCCCACATGCTGCGGAGCAACTAAGCCCGTGTGCCACAACTACTGAGCCTGAGCTCTAGAGTCCGTGCTCCGAAACAAGAGAAGCCACCACAATAAGTCTGTGCACCGCAAAGAAAAGTAGCCCCTGCTCACCGCAACTAGAGAAAGCCTGCGCACAGCAACGAAGACCCAGCGCAGCCCAAAATTAATTAATTATTTTAAAAAGAGAATTTGCAAACTCAATTTTGAGAGTTTATTATCGAGTTGTCAAAAAGGTGGTTTATAGGTAGGAAAGATTTTTAGCCTCCTGAAGAAATGAAACCATCTGTAAATTGAACCACATTTTCCTGGCGACTTGCTCAAAATGATTCCGATGCATGTATTTGGCTTCTAAAACACAAGATAAATAAGGCTCTACTCCTGAGAGAAATATGCCAAATTCCACCATTTGATCTCACCATCAAAGAGAAGTTTTCATAATCTGGTTTCTTCACAAATTCACTTAAATGAGTTTCAGAGGTTATTTTTGTTTATTTTTGGCTTTTTTGTGCTTTACAAAGTACAATTAACTAAAGGTAACAGTTATAATATAACTATATCCCTTTTAGAGGAAATCACTCTCTCTACTTTTTAGGGACCCTTTATGTTGGTGGTTGTTTATTTTCATTTGGACCAGACTGACTTGAACCTACCAGCATACGAATAAATGGGCTTTAACCGATAATTTTGTTCTAGTGCTCTAATGTATAATTTCATTCCAGAGTTATAAGAAAGGGAATAGCAACCATTTTATATGAAGCTTACATTCCAGGATAGTAATTGCTTAGACATTATCTGGAAATTGTAAAGAATAATGATGTACTGGGAGTCCTTCACAGCTTGTGACACAAATCTTGCACCAAAACAAATATAGAAAAAGTGAGAGGTTGCAAAGTCTGTTTTGTCCATCTTCAGCGAGTTTCAACCCTTCTGTTGAATTTTTGGGTCTCCTAATGTTTACATAGCATGGTGGAAGGGGAATGTAACATTCTGTCCATTGCAGTACATATACACAGATGTATAAATTGTGGTGTTTATTGTTTTCTTAGTGTGGCATTTAAGGCATATGCATTCCCTTCTGGATTTTCTTCCCCTTAGTGAAGATGCATCTCACAATCAGATTGTTATTTCGTTTTAAGAGATGTTCATTCCTCTTCCTTTGTTTCATGTTTTACTCCTTGTAACAGGAAACCAGTGACTCAATTTTACTCCTTGTAACAGGAAACCAGTGACTCAATTTTACACTGATTGCCCTCTGGGTCTTATGGTGATGCACATCACAGAAGTGAAGGATGGGTTCCTGAGGCCTGAGCGAGCTGGGGCAGTATACGTACAAAGCCACCACTGTGAGTCTCAGAGATCACCTGGAATTGATTGTGCTCAAGACAAGTCCTTTCATGTTGACTCGGAGGCCCCAAGAGGAACAGAAGGCGGTAAACTCTGTCCTGATATTAACAACGCCTTACTGATGCAAAAAAAGTGTCCCACAGCACGTCCCCAAGCCCAGTGAAGCCATGCCCTATACAGGCGACCTTGTCCAAACATCTGGAAGGTCCATTCCCCATCTAGATTAAGTGGCTGGCGATACTCCCCAAGTGAGGCCAAGGTGTAGTGCTTTGGGTCAAATACCACCTAGGGCAGAATCTGAGACGGGAGACCTTCCTCCAGATGCTAACGTAAATGCTCCAAGTCTGTGACAATCCAGATGTTCTGCAAGCTGGCATCAGCCGCTCAGAGTGCTGTGGTCTTGGGAATGGATTCCAGAGAAGCAACTTTTGAATGCACTACGTGTGACCCTATTACCACAGCAGAGCCAGGACTGGGAACAGAAGCAAGACAGTTCAATGATGTTTCTGTTCAGACTTAACACACGTGAGCCTAGGCCCTGGCGTTGCTGTTCAGCTCCAAGTAACAAGGCCCAGCCCCTCACCAAATCTGTCTCTGCAGACACATGTTTCCCTGGTATCTACCCAGGGGGCACCTGCCAAGCTGTGCCTGCCCACTGTGGTGGCTGCCGTCACCGCCATCTCCCCTGCCACGTGGCGAGGCAAAGCCCCAGCTTTGTGTCTTCAGCCTGTAGGCCCTGTTCATACTCACATAACCATCTGGAAGCCAAGTTCAGGAAGGCTTTGAACGTCCTTCAGGACACCACAGTGAGGGAGCTGTATTCTGTCAGTATTTACCTCTGCAAAGATGGAGAAGCAGACGCAGCAACGATAAACACCTCAGGGATAAAGTTCAGCCTTCCCTTCCAAATGTGAGCTCTCGGGACATACCTTTCCATTTCAAATCATGACTAATATTTGTAGACTGTTTTATTATTTAAAATACATTCTCACAAATTTCTTATTTGATACTTCCAATCACCTTATGAAGGAAGGAAGGCAAATTTTATTATCCACCCCCATTTTACAGAGGGGTATAGAACAGTACATTCATATGTAAGGTTCTAAGCATCAATGCATCTGTACCTCCCTTCAGTTCAGTCTAACTGAAAATTCTGTCTCATATTCACTTAGCTGTATAATCTTGCACAAGCCATTTCATCTCTCTGAGCCTAGTTCCTGCTTTGTAAAATAGGGAGACTATTCATGTCATCGATGCAGGATCGTTTTCGGATTAAATGAGAGAATCGGTGGTTACCGATTTTCGTTACTATTTTATTATTGTTCGGGTCTTAAATATAGAACTTCTCATGTCAAATAGAGGAACTTTTGGTCTTCCTTTGCTGAGCTTGTTTAAAAGTGAACATTGAGGTTACTGAGGACTGAAGGACCCCCAACCCTGTTCAGCTCCTGGTAAATCAACAAGCATTTAGTGAGTCCTTCCAATGAACCCTCTTCAGCAATTCTCAAGGTCAGAAATAATCTAGGCTATCAAGGCTAGCCATTGATTTAAAAAATTAAAGAGTATCAAACATGAAACTACGTGTATAGACAGGGTGGAAAAACAAGGTAGCACATATAACGTAGGACTATAGCTGTTCAAAGGAGAATGAAAGGCAACTACGATTTCCTGGGTGCCTACTATTTGGTGCCTTCTGTGTTACCTTCCCATTCTGTTAATCCCACAAATATTTACTGAGTGCTATACCAAGCACTTTATTTATGCTGTGTCAAATAACCCCCATTTTCATCCATGCCATAAATGTGCCAAGTCCTCCCTCTTTCACAGATGAGGAAACAAGAACTGAGAGAGTTTAATTTTCCAACTTCCCACAACTCCTAAGTCCAGAGTCACATTCAAGCTTAGCTGACACCAAATCCTTGGACAATCCACTCCAAAGATGTGTCCAACTTTAAAATATCTAAATCTATGTAAGTGTAATAGTAACATGAGAAAGTGATTATTTGAAAGATAAGGCAAATTACGACATGGTCCTTCAAGATATAGAAATCTATACAAATGTAATGTGAATATAGAAAGTGATTATATGAAAGATAAAATAAGGGTTGAACTAGTAAAAGAAGGTGTTGAGATCAATTCTAGGTATAATATTATGCTAAGTTTCAGTGAGAGAAAAGAACAAAAGCTAACGTATAGCTGGGGTCCTTTGGAGTAAAAAGACCGAGGTTCAAATCCTGGAGAATGGTAGGAGCCATCATCATCATTGACGTTAGCTGAGAGATTGTAAATGCAGTGGTTTTCAATTGGGGGTAATTTTACCCCAGCCATGGCGACATTTGGCAATGTTTGGAGACATGTTCGGTTGTCATAACTGGGGTAGGTGCTATTGGCATTTAGTGGGTGGAGGTCAGGGATGGTGCTAAACATCCTACAATACATAGGACATCCCTCACAACAAAGGATTATCTGACCTAAAATGTCAACAATGTCAACGTTGAGAAACTCAGCTCTAAGGGAATAAACATCTACTTGACCATATAGTTCATGTAGGCAAATGTTAGGGATGAAAGACAGCTGGAGAAGGTGACATTTTAAGAGGCTATAAGGGGAAAAATATTAAATCCTACAGTTAGGTACTCCAGTTTCCATGATGAAAACCAGATTATTGATCTAACATATCCTGAAAAAATATTATTTTTCTAATTTACATTTTTAAGATAAATTTCATAAGGAAATATAAATTAAACCATAGTTGGTTTTATATTTTGTTTAAAATAATAAAGTATAAAAAACCAAAACTGTGTTTAAAACTTCAGAAGAAAGTCACAGAGAGGGTGTGCTCTCGTGGGTTATCTATGATAATGGTTTGCTGATATGATTAATTTCTTATAAATAAGTGATTTCTTCACAATAATTTGTTAATTCGAAATAAAATCTTTCCAGAAAAGAAAATGAGTTGTATATGAAATAAGAGTTTTGGATATTAGAAGATCCATCTATAATGTTTATTATTTAGATTTAAAGAAAAAGAAAATCATACAAATTTTAAAAAGTAATATGAGCCGGGCTTCCCTGGTGGCGCAGTGGTTGAGAGTCCGCCTGCCGATGCAGGGGACATGGGTTCGTGCCCTGGTCCAGGAAGATCCCACATGCCGCGGAGCGGCTGGGCCCATGAGCCATGGCCACTGAAGAGTAATATGAACCAATTCAAAAGTGAAGGGTCGATATTGTTGCTCTTACTATTGAAGATAAAGTTTGTTTTAAGGCCCAGGTTGGGTCAGTAGAGTAGACCTTGCATTGTATTTGAGTTATAACCTAGCCCTTATATTGGAAAAAAAAGAGTTCAAAACAGCCTCTTTTTTTGTTTGCTTGACTAAGGTTTCCTTTTTTCTGAAACTTCTATATCTGTTCTAAAGCAGAAATGTATTGATAGTTTCAGTGTTTCCAAGTGACCGGGAGTTGGCAGCATTTCAGAATCTTCCACATCGCTCCCTTCACAGGGAGCTATACACCGTCAGTTATTCCTAAATCCCAGCCCTCATGCCTTCCAATCACAAAGGGTTATCCCAAAATATCTAGATGAAGCATAAATTTCAACGTTTATAACGTTCAGCCTACTTAAGCACCATATTTCCACGGCCCTGGCCTCACAGTCCCTAGAACTTGGTCACCTTGTAAGAATCTACTAAGACCAATCGGCTCATTCCTTAGGGACAAATAACTTCTCCCTATGACTAGCTACACTGTAGTCCCTGCTGTGACTCAGCTAGATCTTGAGAAGAAAAGAAATGAATCAGGAGAATTGGGTTTGAAATCTACCATGTTTTGACCTGGGACAAGTTAGTTAACTCTTTGTGTCAGAACACTTATCTATAAAAAGAAGTCCTCCATGGTCTGTATGATCTTTTCTAGTTTTAAGAACCATAACTGTAGTCACCTTTCAAGCACTCTTGCCGACATCAATAACCTTCAAATACTCCTCTAACTGGTTCAAATGCACTCATACCGAAGCAACAATAATTGGAGAGTTTTGCTCTGTAAAATGTTGTTCATGTATAAAAATGAGGATAGAATCAAAACCGAACTCTCAAAGCAAAATGATGGAGAGTTTCAATATCAAAATATCACTCAGGACAGTATTTCCATTATGACAATACCAGTAAAAATAGCCATCTGGTTGCTAAGAGCATGGCCATGTGGTTTGGGGGTGAAAGGTAAGAAATCTGGGACTTCCTAGAAAAAGGGGTGGGAGGAATTAACATAGCTGAAAGATTGGTCTCCACTGAAGGAGGAAGAAGAAGAAAAGGTTAAAAGCAACCTGCCATTGAAATTTTTCCTTTAAAGAGTTTCCCAAAAAAAAAAAAAAAGAGTTTCCCAGAAGCCCCACTCCACCATCTCCACTTCCATCTCATTGCCATCCTATCTGCAAGGGATACTGGGAAATGTAGGTTTTTAGTTAAATGCTCAGTGCCCCTAAGATATTAGAATTCTGTAATTATGAATACAGGAGGGAGAGATGGTGAGTAGGCAACGACCAGACACTACACACTAATCAGGGAGGAGTTTAAAATGGAGGACCTGGTAGATCTAGCATTAGGGTCCAGCTAGCATTAATATTACTCAAAGTCAGGTGGGTAGAGATTCTGGGGCTCTGGATCATGGATCTATTCAAAGCATGATCCAACCAGGGCTAGAAAACAAAGAGGATAGCTGGTAAGAACTCAGCAAATCAGCCGAGTGCCTGACAAATAGACCAGGCTTGGTGGCTGCAAGAAGATATTTAAATAAGGAAACCAAGGCAACAGCATCGTCGTACAGAGAAAGTAAGATTTAAAGATTGATTCACATCAGGAACAATGGGACGCAGGACTGGAAGGACAGAGTTCAATTTTCGATTCCAGTCCATGGAGGATGGGATGCCTAATCTATGCCTACCTCACTCTGAATGGGCTTGTCGGCTGGGTGGGGCTGATCCTACAGATTTCAACCACCAGAGACTGTGGTTAAGCAAAGCTAAGGCTAATAAAAATTATTCTAAGCAGACTTTCTCTAATCAAATACGTACCATCCGAACAAACATGTTCAGTGTTACTGAGATTCAGAGTGAGGCAGTACTCAGCACCAAAGTGAAACAAGATTAAACAAAACTCAACAATTCTAAGCACAGGCTCGCACTATTCTGGCCCTTCCCTCCTCCTCTCCTGTCTACATCCTCGCACCCTACCTCCCCCTAGTCTTCCAGAGCGCCTTCTTGTCTCTGGGACATAATGTCTCCAAGGGCCATCCAACAATGGCTGCCCTCCTGTCCCAGCCACATACTGCCTCTACTTGCTTGACGAAGCCAAAGGCTGGGCTTTCCCTATTCTCTTTCTGACACATTAGTAGCAGGGCTTCGTCGCGAACAGGTAAGCCCAGGTGGAAAGGCAGGTGCCACTGTGGTGAACTCTTGCAGTGATTCAGAAAGACCTTCCTTCTCAGCTCTTTCTAATTGTTCTCAGTGCACAGTCCCTGAGACGGAAACAATGAGGACGGTCTGCCAGAGTTTCCGGAAGCATTTAGAAGAAATTGAGCAGCACCTTAGAGAACAACAGGCACTCTTTTCCAGGGGCATGTCAGAGGAGAAAAGATAATTATCTAAGGGAGCCATAAAAGTAAGTACCAGCCCACACATCTGGAGCAAGAAAAGGTATTCAGGGCAGGACAGACGAGCACCACGGAGCAGGGCTAACGAGAAATTGACCAGCTTTCCCTTTGCTTTCCTGTTCCCATTCTTACTTTCTCAGTGGGAGTCTGTGAGAGCCATTTGCCGGATAGCAACACTTTACCTCTTCAAGGCCAGGGCTATTTGAGGTCAGAAAATAGGCAGCAGCTGGGAAGAGGGGGCTAGCCAGCAGGGCATCTTTAATCAACATGAACGGGGCTCACGAAAATACGAATATTGGCGGATGTTAGAGTTTTGGAAATTTGCACTATGTTCACATAGATTAAAAGTATTCGTCCCAAAAGTGGATTAGTCATTGCCTGGGGCTGGGAGTAGGAATAGGGATTAATTTATAAAGGAGTACAAGGTTTCTTACTGGTGAGATGGAAGTGTTCCAAAATTGAATGGTGGTGGTCGTTACACACTTGGCAGATTTACTAACAATCATTGAATTGTACTCTTAGAATAGGTAAACTTTATGGTATGTAAATTATTCTGCAACAGAGTTGTTTAAAAAGAAGAAAAAAGGAAACCTGCCCTCCTAATAAACGTAGGCCTGCAACTGATACAAATAAAGATGGTGACTGTCTCTTTTAAGACCTGTCAAAGGAGTGACCTACATTTTGAGAGGGACAGTGGAAGATTGCACCTGGAGGTGCTTGTGAAATTTGGTTGTTTTCTATTATTTACCTGCAGGGAGGAGGCTGAACAACTGCAAACTTTACTCGAAGCCCTGCAGCAGTAGTTGGAGGAGCTAGAGTTTCAACTGGGAGACCAGGCTCAGCAAATTCAAGAAGGGATGCAATCGGTACTGGCGATGGGGTGTGGGGTTTCACTAGATCCTGCCCATCGTAGCAGGGGTGTGTTAAGTGAGAAACCTGATTGTACAGTCATTCCAGATTCTAAGATTAGGTGCCAACAAGTTCATTTTAAGTATAAAGAAATTGAAGCCCAGAAAAGCACATTGGTTTGCTCAAGGCCACACAGCTAGCTGATGGTGATTCAGGACTAGAACTTGGGTCACCTCACCCTCATGCCAATCTTTTCCTCTGCCCTGTAAACAAGAGATAAGTATTAGTAGCCCATTTTCCAAATGAGAACAAGATACACGGCTTTTGACCTAATATGGGCTAAGTCACTGCCAGGATCTTTTGCCATCGCACAGAGCCCAGTCTAGAGAATTCACACCCATCAGTGCCTTTCCCACCAGTCTGAGTTAGCTGCTTGGTGTAAATATGGGAAGTTGTCCACACTTTTTGTTCCTGTTTTCCTTTTAGTAGCTTGAGCTTCTCACAGGGAAACCACCTGAACACTACTGCATCAGTATAAGTGGACCGAAGAAAAGAATGGCCAGACTTCATGTGCTAAGATCCACCCCTCCATGGCCCCTGGGGCTGCCTTTCCTCCCAGTGATGGCCAGCGGGCTCCATGCTGCAGTGTGACCCATTTAGCTGCCTTTCCTCCATCCACCTTGGGGAGAAACACCAGGATGTCTCCTCCAGTTTTGGCAGAATCAGATCCGGCCTCTCTGTCAAATTGTCCTGTTGGAGAAAAGGATACAGATGTCTTCCTCTAGATCAGGGGAGGTTTGTTGACCTTTCTACAAAATGTAAAAGCACATTCTAGCCAGAGCAAGACTATCTAGGACTTCCCTGGTGGCGCAGTGGTTGAGAGTCCGCCTGCCGATGCAGGGGACACGGGTTCGTGCCCCGGTCCGGGAGGATCCCACATGCCGCGGAGTGGCTGGGCCTGTGAGCCATGGCCACTGAGTCTGCAGGTCCGGAGCCTGTGCTCCGCAACGGGAGAGGCCACAACAGTGAGAGGCCCAAGTACCGCAAAAAAAAAAAAAACAAAAAAAACAAGAATATCTAAATTTTCCCCAAGGAGAAGTGTGTATCAATCCTTCCTCAGCTATTTTTTTAATATTCTACGCTATGGTTAAACCTGGGAAGAATATTTTAATACTCATTTGATACAGAATAAGTGAGCACCTACTATGTGCCAGGCATAGGGTGCAGTGGCCAAGATGTATATAATATATATCCCTCAAGGTATATATGGTGTACAGTCTTTGCCCTGCTGAAACTTACAGTCTTTTGGGGGAGACAGAATGTAAACACATAAATAGGTATGAATTTGAAAACTGTGAAAGGGCTTTGAAGGAAATAACAGGGTTTTATGAAAGAGAGAATAACAGGGAGGCTGATTTAGATCAGGGTATCAGAAGGGCCTGGTTGAAGGAGTGACAACAGAAGGAGGAAGGAAGATCCAGGCCTGAGAGGTAGCAGACTGTCCAAAAGCCTTGAGTTGGTCGGCAAGCCAGACTTATTGAAGAAGCACCCACTAGGTGTCAGCAGCTCCTCTCGTGCTGGAGACAGCTGTGAACGAGACAGAGCTCCTACTCAACAAAGCATCGGACGAAGAGTGAGAAACAACCACCGCACCAACAAGCAAGTATATAAGATCACGTCAGTTCCTCACCATGGCGAAGACCGTGTGATAATACCGTAGAGAGTGACGTGGGGTGAAAAGCTTACCACATTCATCAGAGTGGTTGGCCTTGCGAAAGGGAAGCTATTGGGGCAAGACACGAATGGTGAGGAAGAGGAAGCCATGTGAAATTCTGGGGAAAGAACATTTAAAGCAGAAGGGGGCTTCCCTGGTGGTGCAGTGGTTAAGAACCCGCCTGCCAATGCAAGGGACACGGGTTCGAGCCCTGGCCTGGGAAGATCCCACATGCCGCGGAGCAACTAAGCCCGTGCGCCACAACTACCAAGCCTGCGCTCTAGAGCCCGCGAGCCACAACTACTGAGCCCACGTGCCACAACTACTGAAGCCTGCATGCCTAGAGCCCGTGCTCCACAACAAGAGAAGCCATGACAATGAGAAGCCCGCACACAGCAACGAAGACCCAACACAGCCAAAAATTAATTAATTAATTAATTATTTTTAAAAAAGAGCCCTTCTCTAAAAGAAAATTAAAGAAAATGAAAATAAAGCAGAAGGAATGGGAAGCTTAAAGGCTCTGAGACAGAAACAGCCAGCATTGCTGAGTGGGTGAGTGACAGGGGAGCGGAGGGAGTGGAAGTCTGAGAGGTGGGGCTTCGGGATAACTGAAGGCTGGAGTCCGAGAGCCTGAGTTTTTCCCAAGTGTGATGGAAAGCCATTGTAGGTTTTAAGCAGGGTTGTCCTGTGATCTGCTTTACATTTAAAAGTCACGCTGACTGCCTTGTGGAAAAGGTACCACTGGGGACTGACAGCTGTGCAGGAGCTCCCGTTAGAAGGCAGTTGGTGTAATCCCGGAAGGGAGAAGCAAAACTGTCAAGTTGCTTCCATCCAGCTGGGGAGGCTTGTGAGCCCTCCACCCCCCTTTGCCAGTGAAATGCAGGGTGGTGTACACCAGGGCTGAGTGCACTGGCGGTCTCTAAGTGCTACAGGAATTCTCAGGAGCGGGGGATGCATGAAGAATGGAACAGTCAGGAAAAGTTCATGGAAAAGTAACTCCTTGAGGAAAGTGCATAATTTATGTAAGATGGGCCAGTGGTGGTTACTTTCCAGCAAGGAAACTAAGAAGCTATTTCTTTTGAAGCTACCCATTACTAGAACCCATCTCATAGCCTATTTCCGTTCTTCATCCTCCTTGCTTTTCGGAAACCCTTTGGCTTCATGGGAGCCCTCCTACCCTTCAGACCACCCTGCAGTTCCCTCTGTTGACTATACTTCCTTGGAGTGTGGACATCCCTCTTCTGTCCTCAATTCTCTTCTTTTTCTCTCTCCACACCATCTTTCTCAATATACACACTCACTCTAGAAGCCCAGTTTCCAGCTCTCTCCAGAATTCCCGTCCAGCATTTTCTACTCTCCACAAGATAGTTTCAGCTGGAAGACTTGCTTCCAAATCTCACTCAGTATCTATCTTTTTATTTCTGTGTGATACACAATGCCCCATGCCAAGTACTTACATGACAATCTCTTATTCTCAAAAGCAGCCCACAGCAAAACTGTTCATTAGACATGGAAAACTTTCTTTTTCTGAGAACCTAGCTTAAAGCTAAATAAGTTCCATTTTGGAGTTTGGAGTGTTGATAAAGTTCAGACCTGTTTTTGACCTGAGTTGCTTCCACACAAAACAGATGCAAATGAAGATTTGATGGTTGTTATTTCATATAATCAAACTGCATAAAAAGCACTGACCATATAAGTTGCCATATAAAAATAGAAGTATTTTGCATGTGACATGACAGACTTTCCCTCATTTGAGCCTCTCAGTGCTAAGGGAAGTATTCCGCATTTGAATAGGAGGAAGCTAAGATGGAGAGAATGATCTCCACAGGTAGACACTGAGTCCTGTGCTGTATTATTAATGAGAAGCAACTGTACAGTGGGGTTAAGGACTCAAGCTCTAGAGTTAAATCCGGAAGCTTAAATCCAACTCCACCATCTGTGTTGGATAAACTACTTAACGTTTCTAAGCCTGTCATCATTTGTACATTACAGGGGTTCGTGCCTATATAGCCCTTTAGAGCGAGCCTGGAACGTGGTTCCTGTATGATCCCATGTGGAGTACAGCTCATTGGGATTAAGATATATAGCCCTTTAGAGCGAGCCTGGAACGTGGTTCCTGTATGATCCCATGTGGAGTACAGCTCATTGGGATTAAGATATATAGCCCTTTAGAGCGAGCCTGGAACGTGGTTTCTGTATGCTTCCATATGGAGTACAGCTCATTGGGATTAAGATAATGATGATAATAAGAGTAGTGGCAATTTTTGAATATCTACTTACACGCAAGGTACTGGCTAAGCACTTTATGTGCATTATCACTTATCTTCACAACAATCCTGAGAGGCAAAAATCAATACACACACACGCACGCATGCATGTGCACACACATGCTCAAAAAGACTATAAATTGTCTAAGTTCCAACAACTAGTAAGGGATTGAGTTGACTCTCTGATTCCATGTTTTGCCAGTGGTTCACCATTATGGCTCTGCCAAGCCTTGGGGCTTATGTGGAGCCCACTGGTAGGTCCAAATCAACCAAAGTAACCCTGCTTCTGTCTGCATTATCTATTTAGCTTTAGCAGAGATTTTCCTTTAAAAAAATCTCACTCTATATAAAAGTTTGGAAAGCAGTGTACTATGTTAATGACAAATGGCTCTTGCAGTCAAAGGCAGGTTCTGAGTTGCTTTCATGTAAAGAGATGACTTCTTCCGCAAAGACTCCTCAGGAACCTACCATCCTAGCAACTCTTAGCTTACTCCTGCTTGTCCCATTGCCCAAGAATAATGGCAAGAGTTCCTCTGCAGTCCCTGAATGATTTTCTGGGGAATCTCACAGTTCTATCTTCAAGTTCCAAGATCCTGCATTCTCTTTTTTTCAAAGTTAACCTATCCAAGTTGACTTTATTCAAGAAAATCCAGACTACATATCTGAAATCAGAGATCATTGCAATAAATATTTGTACAAAGTTAATAACATAGAAAACCTTTTAATTGTGAAACCCAGCTCGGGGTTAGAGTCATTCCATTTCAATGAAAAAGAAGAAAAAAAATAAAAATCACACCACCTGATCATTTTCAAATTTAGAAGTTGGCAAGGGAACAATTTAACCTCTTTTACATCAAAGGACAGGGGTCCCTTCCTATATTAATTTTATTCCATCCAGATTTCATTTCAATATTCAAAGCCAAAGGTGTGAATAGAGAAAACTGAGTTGAGAAACAACACTTGGAAATTCGGGCTATATATTTTCCTTGGTTTCGTTATGCATGAGTGAAGACCCAGGTTTCACGATGGAGACAAAAGGATAAAACCTTGAAGTTTGCTCTGAACCACAGCATATGCATAGGCTATGTAGACTTATATAAGGATATCCATCTTTCAGTCCACGGGAAAACATTTCCACAAAATCCCATTAGATTTTGTTTAACAGATATTCCCTTATATATGCATTTTTGTCTGCAGGTCCAGAGTTATCTTTTCTTCAAAAGAAAATAATTTTGCTAAAGTAGAAAAAATAAAGTCACAATATGTTCTAATGACTTGAAAATCTGGTCTAATATAACTGTTTCTTCTTGTTGAGAAATAATTTCTGTGGTATAACAGAGGTCATAAAATAGGACATTTGTGCAGAGATTAAAGGATAAAAGTTTTTTGAGAAGAAAAGTTTAAAAATGTTTAATTGTGCGATGGTGGGTTGCATATCTAATTTCAAATTTTAATTTGAACAACAAAGAACAGCCATAATTTGTAGGGACTGTAGATTATTTGAAATGATGTCAAATTGTCTTTCTTGAAAATGAGAGAATGTGAACAGAAGCCAAAATATTGGTAGCACCTTTCTCTAACCCAAGACTCAGGTTCTAATAGTCTAATTTTCAAACATTAGTAGACCAGAAGTTTAGTATGAGATGCTCCCTCTCTGAGTCAACCTAATTATGTAAAGAAAGAGACTTCCATGTCACGAATGATTTCTAATCATTAGAATCAAATTGAAGACTTTTCCCATTTGGGTACTCCAAGAGTTCAGTGCTATCCAATGTTGGTAATCCAATCTAACAGTCAGAGCCAA